GATGAACGAAGCAAGTTGAGTTAGTTATTTGTCCTAAATAGGTCTTGTCATTCCTAAAATATTCTTGTTAATTAAATATATTGACTAGAATTATAATTATTAGAAGGACTATTTTGGAAAAAATTGAATAAATATGAGAGACAAAGTGGATTAGGGTCTTATATTTAAGACCAAAATAAAAGTCAAACATGGTCTTATATTAAGGACTGGAGGTAGTATGTTATAAAATTATAATAAACACTGATAAAAAAATAAAATTATAATAAATTATATTTATTTATAAATCATCAACATTTGTTATTTTCGTGTTGGCAACTTCTCCCACTAGGTTAGCAACAATATGAAAATAATTTGATGAGACAACCAACAATTGCTGGATGACAATATTATTAGACATAGCAAGTGGTTCTCTTAATCCATAACACCAACGGGGTGTTTGGATTTATGCTACTTTTTCATGAATCAAGACAAACTTTTTCATATATTTATTTTGTATATAGTAAAAATACTTTTAAAATCAAAGTTTTACTTTTACACAAACACCCCCTAAAAAAAGTAAAAAATTGATAAAATAACCCAACATTTGCTCACAATCACTGCCCCCAATTATTTAGGATCTTCATGTATTTTGTGGTCTGCGTTATTAATTAGGGCAGTGACGCCCTCCATTTTCAAGCAAACGGGAATTAAATTAAAACAACCATTGTAAAGTAACATAATACTATATTAGATTCTTAACATAAAAACTAATTTGACTTTTATTTTGACCCTAAATATAAAACCTTAATCTATTTTGTCTCTTATATATATTTTTAAGAAATTCCTTATAATAATTGTAGTTCTAACCTATACACTTGATTAACAAGGATATTTTAGAAAAGATAACGTTTATTTATTACAAATAACTAACTTAACTAGTTTCTTTAATCTATTTAAATTAATCAACTAGTTTTTATACTAAGGACCGAAATTAATAGTATTATTATCCAGACTATATGTATATAAATTAAGGTTTATAAGTTCCGTCTCGTCATTTTATCAGCACAGTGTTCAATTATGAGTATTTATCCACCTTCAGGTTAAGAGAGTAGGCGACAGCATGTTAACAGCAATTCTGAGAGGAAGGGGGGGAAAAATCCGTGGACTCTCAATCATTTTTGAAGATCGCGTAAAAAAACATTTTATATATTTATTTTGTATAACATAAAATCAATTAAAATAAATAGAGGTAAAGGTCATTTTTTTATTTGAAAATATTTAGAAGGAGTTATAAATATTTTGAAATTTTTTAACTTAATGTTACCGCAAAAGAGTTATAAAAAGGGCAATACTGTTCTTTCTATTAATAATATTGATTGTTAATATTAATTTTTTAATAGAAAAGGCTGATAGTTTTTTTTAAAATACCTTCAGGGTGACACTAAAAATATCTTCGAAGATAAAAATGATTTTTAAACTGGTTAGAGTGAATCCCATTAAAAAAATATTTAATACTCCTCCGGTTCTTAATATAAGATTTATTTAACTAATTTGATTAAATTAAAAAAATTATATAAGTTAGTTAATTATAAAAAATACTGTCTTCTACTTAATTATGGTTGATGGAAATCCATAGAGGTAATTTAGAGAAAAATGATAAATATAAAAAATAAATCTTATATTTAGAATAAAAATCAACTTTTTTTTTTTATACATCGGAAAGAAAAGCCAACTAACTATGAGATATGCTAACTATAGGAGAGTTGAGGGAATCAGGACCAAAGATCTGCAGACCCTTGGCCTTGTCCAACGCCCATTTTGCTAACACATCGGCTTGTTGAATAGTTTCCCTTGCCACGACTTGCAACTCGACTTGCCAATCTCTGCTCAGCATGCTGTTGATCTCAGAGAGAACGCCTTTGTCCTTGTGTAAGAGTGGCATTTCCATTTTAATAAGATGTATTGCCTCGCAAGAATCACTTCTAAGGATGATTGATCTGAAGCCTCTATCCCAGGCCCTTTTCATTCCGATGAGACAGCCCCAGAGCTCAGCTGTAAGGTTATCCCCATTTTCTAGCCCATACCAAAAACCCTCCACATCCCGATAATCTCTTGATCATTTGTAGGTTCCAACCTGCTTATTTGTCTAAGAGAGGCATTGATATTGGTTCCTTCCAGCTTCTTCTTTGACTGTGCCATGCAGTGTAAGATAGCTTGAGCTCTAACACATATTGACGCAAGTTCTATGTTTTCATCTGAATGCGTCCTAGCGTTCCTGCGTCTCCAGAGGAGCCAACATATAGTATAAAAGAGCTCTTTCCAATTTTCCGCTCCCTTGCCAACTCGGTGGGTCTCATTGAATTTCAACCAGTCCCGTAGATTACTTGTGAAAAATCTTTGGTGATGCTCTAGTTTAACAATCTCTTTCCAAAATTGAGAAGTGTGGCTGCAGTCACGTAGAACGTGGATTTCATCCTCCATTGCGTTATGGCATCGTCGCATCGTCCATCTGCGTGCATTCCGCGCTTCCATTTTAACTTATTTGTAACCAGTCGTTCATGGCCAAGGATCCAGACAAAATGTTTACATCTGTGGGGTACTCTGCTTTTCCAAATATTTTCCCATCGTCGATCTTGTACTGTTTGCTCTGTACCGAGAGCTTGGTAGGCAGATTTTAGGGTAAAGTCCCTACTCTTAGTTCCTCTCCATCGAACGTAGGTATTCCCATCGCGATCTTGAGCTTCCTGAATATTCTTCCTAACTTGCTCCCATTATTTCGTATTCCACGCCAAGTGTTAGAACCTGGACGTTGAGTTTTGATATCTGGTAGCAAGTCATTTCCGCAACCATATTTACTTTGCATGACTTTAGCCCAAAGAGATTCTCTATCTTTAATTAATCCCCACTCGAGTTTCATCATAAAGGCCCGATTCTGTTGTTTCATATGCCTCATTCCTAAGCCCCTTGTGCTTTCGGTTTACACACATTGTTCCAGGAGATTAGATGCATTCTATGGTGGCTATCTGTTGAGCCCCATAAGAAGTCTCTAGCATGCCTTCCATTGTGTCACATGTACTCTCGGGGATATAGGCCGTTTGCATTGTATAGACTAGAAAGGCGTTTATAACTGAGTTAATAAGAGTTCCTCGGCCTGCCATTGAAAGCTGGTTTATTTTCCACCCGCTAAGTCTACTTTTGACCTTGTCAATAATTTCTTGAAAAGTGTGCTTTGAGACTCGATCATGTTGTAGAGGTACACACAGGTACTTTCCAAGGTTTGCTGTTTTGGAGAATCCGAGCTCTAAACTAAGTTGTGAGGCTCTGTTGTGATTCACATTTTTGGAGAAGAAGATTTTGGTCTTCCTAGCATTCACTTTCTGGCCCGAAGCTGCGCAAAACATGCTCAAGCACTTTTTTATAATCTCTACCTGTTCTAGACTAGCTTCTGCAAAAATTAACAGATCGTCAGTAAAAAATAAGTGGGAAATGGAAGGGCCATACTTACTTAGTTTGATTGGTCTCCATCGATGTGCTTCAACTTCTTTTTGAATGAGATAAGCCAATTTTTCCATACAAATGACAAATAGGTACGGAGAGATGGGGTCACCCTGACAAAGGCCTCTAGCTGGCTTAAATTCTTTTGCCTTGCTACCCTCCCATTAAATTTGCATCGAGGGGGAGGATATACATTCTTGAATAACAGCTTTCATATTGTCCGGAATGTGTAGCTCCATCAAGCAATTTGATAGAAAGTGCCAATTAACTCGATCATAGGCCTTCTCCAAGTCTATTTTGATTGCCATGAAGCTCTTTTTTCCATTCATGCTCCTCATGGAGTGCACTATCTCTTGAGCGACAATAATGTTTTCCAAGCTGGTACGTCCCGGGACAAAATTGCATTGATTAGGGGCTATAACTTGTGGGAGAAAGCATTTGAATCTATTTGCAATTACTTTAGTAATCGCCTTGTACACCAGATTGCATAAGCTTATGGGACGTAACTCCTTTATCGTTTCTGGGTGATCATTCTTTGGGACAAGAACAATGTAAGTGTGATTGAGCTCTCTGATTCTTCTTGGTTCATTGAACACTCTTTTAACCATGCTAATCATTGATGGCCCTACTATATTCCATTGGTTCTGAAAAAAGAGGTATTCAGACCATCTGGCCCTGGAGACTTTAGGGCTCCCATACTGAAGATTGCTTTTTTAATTTCTTCGCTACTCACTTCTTTCTCTAGATTGGCTATGTAGCTATCATCAAGAAGTGGGTACAAGATGTCACAATTCAACTCTTCATGGTTTTCTTCCTCTGCCTTGAACAGCTGTATAAAATAATTGGTAGCTATCTGTTTAATTTCTTCAGGATCATCAGTCCATGTATCTTGCTCGTTTTTTATAGCTTCTATCTTGTTTCTTCGGCGTCCCCCGTTGGCCCGCGCATGAAAGAACTTGGAATTAATATCCCCCAAAGAATACCAATTGCATTTAGCTTTTTGAACCCAAAGGAAGTCTTCTTGAATAAGGACATCATCCAACTCTCTCCACAACTGCCTTTGGAGTTGATCAAGAGCTGAGGATAGACCTAATCTTGCAATTTCTCAAGTGATACCTTCTAAGCAAAATCAACTTAATAATTAGATTTTATATTAAGCACTGAAAAAGTACTCCGCAATATCCCAAAACAAAATTACTAAATGATACATTTGGTTGACTAAAGAGTGACAAGTTGGGTGGTGGGGTGGAGGACCCAATGCGACGCCGGCTAAGGCGAGCAAAGCCGCATGTGTCGTGAGAACTTCTTCACGTCACACCAGCGTGAAGACAGCACTCGTTGCTTCGTAAAGCCGTCCCTTATGAATTTTCCAATCCAAACAAAGCCCCGACTTCACTCTCACGCTCCTCCATAAACGCGTCGTGGACAAGTCCACCTTTTCCCATTATCATATCTGCCATTAAAATAAAAATCTTTCGCTACTTTCCATTTTCTTTGGACTTTTCAAACCAAAGAACCGCCAACCCGAATCGCTGCTCTTCCTAGCTGTTTCTTCACAAAGAATAATAATATAAGGAATATTTGTATATTGTATTATTGCTATATTTTAGTGCCACCCCCTCTCCCTTTAGATCGAATTCGGGGGAAATCATTTCAAGCTTGTCTCTTTTTTTGATTGGATTTGTGTAACTCATTCGTTGATTTTCATCGAGATTTAGTTATGGCTCCAAAGGATCCGAAGCAAGCCGCTGCAGCTGCTGCTGCTGGCGGCAGCGGGGGCTTCTTCTCTTCGTTTGCTTCCACTTTGTCCAATTTCGGCAGCGCCATGACCAAATCTGTTAATGGGTATAATTTTCTCGGCTTATTTAGCTATTAGAACATCGGTAATTGTTGGATTTCACTTTTTTTTTCCCTGTTCTTTTCCAAATTAATGTTTGTGTGTTATTCAAGATCGTGCCCTTTTCACAACTTAGTATTATCTTAATTGCTCTCAGATCACAGTTTTAGAAATGATCAATTCCTCGATCCGCAGTTCTTCAATTGTCCAATATTAACCACCTATATGGTAAAATTCTGGTTGTTTGTTCAACTTAATAGATGTATAATTAGTGATTGAGCTTATCAAGTGTAATTATGCACGCATTCTTTGCCTTCTTTTATTATTAATCTGTGTCGTGCTCGGCTATTATGGTTTCACTATAAGTTGCATACAGGAAATGCGGCTTGTAATGTTTTTTTATCCCTCAAAGCTTGTGTTCCACTGGATAAGTTTCATGAAACCATTTGTGTTATTATCTTTCAGTTTAATGGGCTATGAGGGGCTAGAGGTCGTTAATCCAGACGGAGGCACTGAAGATGCTGAAGAGGAAGCAAAAAAGGGACGATGGAAACAAGAGGTATGCTACTTGCCACCCTCATATGTGTGTTGTGTGATATGGCAGAGTGATTGCGGGAAACTTGCGTCAGTGAGTCAATTATTATTACGTGTTTCAGTCATTCATACGCTAAGTTTCTTCTGTATCCTGAAATTGTGACATGGGATCACAGCACTAGGGCTTATCACTTTTCATTCATGACAGTTCCAGTACAACATGATTATGTGACGACTGATAGTGCGGCATGAAAGAATCACTCATGCCTATGCTTCAGCTTAAACGTAAACCTTGAACATAGATCATACTTGATGTATATAGCTTGTAACTTTTATTGTGGGGATATTTGTGCATTAAGTTGAAGCGGTGTACATTCTAGCACAGGTTGCTCTGTTATTTCAACAAATATTTGACTATTGGCATGGTTAGTCATTCTCTGTGGTCTGTCTGGAATGTTCAGGCAACTTTTTAGCTGAGACATGCTGTGGCATGCTGAACTTCTGATTATATGCAATCCAAAATCTGTGGTTCTTTCGTTTGGTTGAAATATGTTGAAAATATTGTCATGTTTTATTTTTCTTGCGCATTGATTCTCAAGATTCCTTCGTACTTTATAGGAACGAGATGGTTACTGGAAAATGATGCAAAAGTATATTGGCTCTGACATCACATCAATGGTGACACTTCCAGTTTTTATTTCTGAGCCAATGACAGCGCTGCAGAAAATGGCTGAGGTCCGTGTTATAATAACTTAAGGGAATTTGCTAATGCTTCCAAAAAAAAAAAAAAAATCTCATTAACTGTATTGTGACTCGCAGCTGATGGAGTATTCCTACCTGTTAGATATGGCAGATGAATGCGAGGATCCGCACATGAGATTAGTTTATGCTTGTAAGCGTTATTTTCATATTCTTTACTTCTACACACACACAAAATTCTGCACGCATCTACTTTGCCAATGCATTGCATGGCTTGTGACTTTATTTGTTCTTTTCACAGCTTCATTCTTTATATCTGTCTACTATGCTTACCAACGAACATGGAAGCCATTCAACCCTATTCTTGGTGAGACTTATGAAATGGTCAATCACGGAGGCATTACATTTATAGCAGAGCAGGCGCGTTTACATTTCTATTTGCTATCAAAGCAACTATTCTTCCTGTTTTTCTTCTGTTTTTTGACCTTGGCCATGGCCTTCCTGAATTTCTAAGTGGCGTTGGCAAAAAATAGCTTTAACATGTGCATATTTATTTCTTCAGGTCAGCCATCATCCTCCCATGAGCGCTGGACATGCTGAAAATGAACATTTCACCTATGATGTGACCTCAAAATTGAAAACTAAATTTCTTGGCAACTCAGTTGATATTTATCCTCTTGGGAGGTATACTGATTCTGTCTTTCTTTGTTGCTATTCATTTTTTCTAATGAGCTGAGAATGTAATGAATTATACGGGACACTGGAACTCCATGTTATAAAAACTTCCACTCTATCCTCTTTGTGATGTTGTTATATCAAGTCTCTGAACTGTTCACCGAAACAGAAAAGCTAAGTTACAGAAATCTTCAAATTATAAGTTGAGCTGTCTTTTGCACTTTTCTGGAACCAAAAATCTTACAATCTTGAATGCTCTGTAACTTCAATTTGGAAAGTTAAATATGTGCTTACTACAATTCTGTATTTTTTTTTCTTAATTTTTAATGCTTGATGTCCATGCGATACAGTTCATTATCAAAATTAAGTAAATTCCTTGGTCCTGTTTTGCGTACGTAAGATTATCTGACTTGGATGCAGGACAAGAGTTACCCTCAAAAGAGATGGTGTGGTTCTTGATTTAGTACCTCCTCCAACAAAAGCTAGCAACTTAATTTTCGGTCGAACTTGGATTGATTCCTCAGGGGAGATGGTGCTGACAAACTTGACCACTGGGGATAAAGTGGTGCTATATTTTCAACCATGTGGCTGGTTTGGGTATGACTGCTTTCTTTGAAGTACAGTTGATTTCATCTGAAATATATCTTGACTCTCTGTTGAGAAGCTTGGTTCCCTCAAGTCTTTGCTAAGAAGCATAGTTTTGTTTTTTTTTTTTTTGGAAGCTTCATGCGTATATGTTATTCGGTTACTCCTTTAATTGCTCATTTTGTGGAATTTTATTCCAAATACTGCTGTTATATGCTTTCCCCAATTTAAAAGGATTTTGCACTTGCAGAGCTGGTCGGTATGAAGTGGATGGGTACGTTTATAGTGCGGCCGATGAACCCAAGATTCTGATGACTGGAAAATGGAATGAGGCTATGAGTTATCAAGTGTGTGACTTAGAAGGAGAACCACTTTCAGGGACTGAGCTGAAAGAGGTTGGTTGTTTAATTTTTGTTGGCTTTATACCCAAATACTTGCTGATTATAGAGATGAGGCGTTATAGTATTGCTTGGGAGTATTCCCTCTTTTTTTTTACCCCTCCTTTTTCCCCTGTTGATGAAATAGTGCATACCCCACCGGTTACAGTTCAATTCTTAAATTGTTCGCTTCTGCAGGTTTGGAGAGTTGCTGATACTCCCAAGAACGACAAATTCCAGTACACATATTTTGCACATAAGATTAACAGCTTTGGCACTGCTCCTAAGAAGTTGTTGGCATCCGATTCTCGTCTCCGTCCTGATAGAATGGCCCTTGAGAAGGGTGACTTGTCCACAGCTGGCCAAGAAAAAAGCAGGTAATATTCTATCCACCCTTGGCATGACTTGATAGGATATGTCGCACCTCAACATTCTTTTTAAATGTTGCATTGCTGGTTCAATACTCTTTCTAGCAGCTGCATGATTCAGTACGGGAGAGAGATAAAGTGATAAGATCCATCTGTAACATATTATCTTTATCTCTCGTTACTGGACCATGCAGCTGTTGTAGAAAATCCGGATGTCACATATGTCACAGGTGTCGATGCATATTGGATAGCAAAAGGCTGTCTTTGAAGTCTGACATGTGTTGTGTGGTTAATTTATTGTTCAGTTTGGAGGAGAGGCAGAGAGCAGAGAGGAGAAACCGAGAGGCCAAGAACCATAAATTTACCCCTAAATGGTTTGAGCTGACCGAGGAAATAGCACCTACGCCTTGGGGTGACGTGGAAGTTTACGAATACAACGGTAAATATACTGCCCATCGAGCTGCTATAGATAGTTCCAGCTGTGTTGAAGATCCTGATAGCAGACCAGAGTTCAATCCATGGCAATATAGTAGTTTGGACGCCGAGTAAAGCGCTTGTGTAATTTTTGTTCACTTTTTCTTTTTTTTGGTGATTGTAATGCTATCCTTTTCTTTGTTTTTGTTTTTGTTTTTGATCGCATGAATGCTGAATTATGTACCTGTATAAATTCTTTCTTTTCTGTGATTCTCTTAATTCTTATTAGGTTGTAATGTTAGCCTTCATATCAACTCTCAAAATTTGATATGTAGTGATGTTTTGTTATTGTAGAATTTTGTTTCCTAATGTTCATCTTCTTGGATCATTAATCTAGTAATCCACTTTGCATAGTATTTTCTTACTCGTCCGCGGTGTGGTTTCTAGTTCTATCAATGATTATTTTATCTAAATATTCCGTTGTTTCTAGATCCATTGTTGTTTTACATGGCTTAGAATAAATACTCCCACTTTCTCGAACAAATGATTATTTTAATATAAAAAGCTTGACTGTTGAATAAATCTTTCTATTATGTTTTAAATAATCGGAGTAACCGTTTATTTGAAAAATTAAGAAACTAGAACTAGAATGTTACGTGAAAGAGAAAAAAAAATTAAATCACCGGATGAAACTAAGGAATACAATCGAATTATTTAAGCGATTATTGTTACTTTTTTCTTTTTTTAACCGGAAAAGAACATAACATGTGCTTCCATCACAAACAAGAAAAAAATAATAACAAAAGAAAAGAATAGAAAGGAAGACAGATGACTACAATTTCACATTAAGCCATCCAAAGCTTACCGATGATAAGGAGGTGATAAGTTAATTTCTAATTGTTTTACTTTTTGAAGGATGAGAAAGTGTTTTCCCCCAACAAGAAGAAATTTTTCGTTATTTCCTCAAGGTCGCAAAAAAGATTCTCTCTTCTCAACATAAGCGATCAATTTATTGTCAACTGAGTATGGATTCTGTCTTCCTTTCTTGCTTGCAAGGTTCTTGTAAAGCTCACATAGAAAAGGAGGGGGGGGGGGGGGGAGATTGTGTGAGAAAAGATTACATACATAACTTTTCTGCGTCACTGTTCAAAGTTCAAAATTTACAAAAACTGGGTTGAAAACTCTTATAAGATTCTCACATGTTATCAATCTGAGATCAATCATCGACATCCTCGAGTGGCTTAGCTTCACCAAACCATCTAGGAGGATCATATCCAGACCCACCTGCATGTGCAAAAAGAAAACCCATTCAAACCCAGAGTTCTCACATTCTGAAGAAACATGGTATATAGAATTCAAGACCAAGATTCATGGAAAAGCATAGAACATAGAAAAGCCATTCGTCGATACCAAGGGGATTGCAACGACATATTCGCCATGCTGTCAATACTGTACCCTTCACAACTCCATATTTCTTATAAGCTTCCATGGAGTACTCACTGCAAGTTGGAATGTATCGACAGCTCTTTGGCAAGATTGGTGAAATTTCCCCTGCATCAAAATCAATTATTATTATAAATCATAAACTCCATTCCTGCAACTATGAATCAGTCAAAATTCCTGAGGCACATGAACACATGCCAGTTCAAAATAAAAGCGCTTAAAAGAGTCTCTTATCTCTTCCTCGAATTTGTCAGAACATCAGGTAAAGGGGTCGCTAACTCGCCATAACTTACATATAGTGCTAGATGTGGGGGCTCCTACAATGCACGGAATAGGTCACACTATTCAGAAGTTATGAGCAGTGGCAATTTTTTATGAATGGTGATGGTTTGCTAAAGTTCTTAAGTTTCTGACTCAGAAATAGTCTTTGATATGGACCATAATACACATCATAATTTAAGTTGACATTTGCATTAATCTGAACTTTCAAAAGGTAATCTTCACTAACTCCAGTCATTCAAGGAAGAATTTAACATAAAAGGTACCCTAAGCTACGATTAAAATGAAAGTCGACAAAAATTTGCAAAATTTTCCAAGCAGGCTGGAAAAAATCCATAGAACCTGGGGAAAAGAGACTGGGGAGAGGCTAACTTTTGTAGAATCTCAGCATTGATAGCGCAGCTTTAACTCCTAAATTGTTCGCCTCGCTATCTGATAGAAGAAGCAAAGTTATAATCGATTTCGGAACAAGATAATTAGCGGACGCAGAGAGAACAAGTGCGCATTACCTTGGGTAGTTTTTGGGTTTGAGTCTTTCTCCAATCCATAAACAACAGGGCCGCAACGATTCGGGGTTTCGAACGATATCGAGATGCCCCATGTGTGTCGTTGATTGGTTTTGACATGGAGGGAACTGAAATTAGGTTTTGGGAATTGGGGAGAAGTTGGAGCGGAAAGGAAACACGCATGACAGTTCAGAGGCAGAGCGAGAGTGGCCATTTCACGCTCCGACATACGCGCTGCCGCAAATATCCCATATTAACTGGCTCGCGTAGACGCGTAGTTCGACGTTCACCCAAAACGACCACTCTTTAGTCTGAGTTTTACTGCCCTTTTTGAAATTGAGCCTCCGACGGACTGTAGTGGCTGCACTGTTTATTTGGTTGATTAGTAAGATATCCAGTTTTTATTCCCAAAAAAAAAAAAATTGAACCTCCATTATATACACACACATATATATTAGTCCGGTTCTTAATATAAAACCTTGTTTAAATTTTACTTTGGTCCTAAATATAAGACTCCAATTCACTTTGTCTCTCTTATTTATATATATTTTTTCAAAGTAGTCATTCTAACAATGGTAGTTCTAACCAATACACCTAATTAGCAAGGAGATTTTAGGAAATACAACACCTATTTAGGAAAAATAACTAACTCAACTTACTTTTTTAATCTCCTCAAACTGGTCAACTAGCTTTTATAATTAGGATTGGAGGTAGTAATTTGCAGGAAACCTCCATTTACATGTAATCTTTATTTTGATTTTGGTATTCAAATTTCAAATTATAAGTTTTGGCCCTTCAAATTTCTCTTCGTTTAAAACATTGGCCCCTAACATTTTGTCTCTTGAGGAGCTAAAACTTATTATTTAAAACTTAAGAGATTAAAATCAAAATGCACATAGGAACTGAAAATTATATCAATTCTCTTAACATCATAGTGCAGTCTTACTCTAACGTTGCAAGAAATTATCCAGGAATAGAAATAAGAAAATGATTTGTTTTCTTTAATTTACTGAATATTTAACCGTGTCCTCTGTTCATACTTTATAAAATGCGGATGCGCCCACTCACAAAAGTGTAAAGTTTATTGTCATTTTCAGTTTTCCACGAATCTCTTTTAACCTCCCTCTCATCGATTATTTTATTATTAAACATTCATCATGATTTATTAGTATTAAATCAAGGATCATAAAGGAAGGGGTAAAGCAAAAGGTATCTATCTAGAGATGTCTAGCTAACTTTTCTCTGTTTAGGTAAATCATTGAGCTGACTCTGTTGTGATTTTAGATGTATAATTAATCAAGAATTTAATAATTTAATGGTTCCACATCATCACTTAGTGACTTGAATAAATATATAAAGAGAGGAACCCTGATTAGATCCTCTTGTTGGTAATTGGAAGAAAATGTCAAATGAAGAACTTAATGTACACAAGAAAATGACACAAAGGATTCATAATTTCACATCAATTTTATTAATTATTTTGATCAGACAAAAGTACCTACATCAGCTACAGTTGCTACAACTTGAGACGGGGAATCCCCAATAACAAGGCTAAACCTTTTTTTTTTTTTTTGGAGGGTGGACATTGGCTAAACCTATTTGATTATTCCCTTTATTTATTATTTTTAAATTATTCTTAAATTTTATTTTTCACCACTAAACATAGTCTCAAGTCAAGCAGTCACAGAAGTCTCCACAGCAAGCTTGCTAGGGTAAGCTACATCAGATTTAATCTCAGAATCCCAAAGCTCAGGCACAGCCTCCTTCAGATTATGTATACTTTCTAAGGCATAATCTGCACCATGGACTCTCTGAGAGGTCCCAACCTATATTCAATAAACCAGAGGCTCACATTAGTTTCAATGTTGTCATAACCATCAAATCCCACCCACACAGTTCCTTGAAAAGCAAATCACTTCCCATTGACTTACCCTCACTGTGTGGAGCCCCACACGTTTCCCAGCTTGGATGTTCCTGACACTATCCTCAAAGAACAGCTGAAAATGACAGATATAACCCAAGTTAGTAAGGGAGTAAGCACAAGGCTGAAAAAAATACTACACACACACACACACAAGACCAAGAAAACTTGTTTGCACTTAAGAAGGATCAATGATCTTACAGTTCTTTGTGGGTCAAGGTTGGCTATTTTGAGGGCCAATTCAATGGCAAATTCTGATGGCTTGCAAATAACTGGTGTTTTGGGCAACTCTGTTCTGGGATTGGGTTGAGCAAAATGACCTATAATGTCAAAGATCTCAGAACTTGAACCCATATGCACAGTTTCATCATCTGAATCATCAGAAACTGTGCTCTTGTTGGGGGGATTGAGTGTCTCAAAGCATATGATTCCTTCAAAGCAGTCTTCTAATCCAAGCCTGCTAAGCGCCTTCACTGCATGGACCTTGTCAGCGTTTGTGAAGATCTGTAGATAAAATCAAGAGACAGTGAGTCAAATCAGATTTATGCTCAACATATCTGGATCCATTATAGTACATTGATCTCATCCGGTTTATGATAAAACTTACTAGTTTCCGATATGGTAGGCTCAGCAAGAGGTTCCTCAGAACTGGGTCTGGTTTCAAGTTCTCATAAGGTAATCTCCCATGGACAAAACTGCAAGAGAAGAGATTCAGATATGAATACCAGACCTTCAAAATGCACATTGAAGTTTATGAGAAAACAAATTAAAGATGAGGCTGGAGCGGGAAAATTCCTTTACCTGTGATATTCATCATAGTCAAAGTCATATCCAATTGCCTGAATTGAGAATCGAAACAGATCAATCATGGGTTCTCAGCGTGCTAAAAATATATCAACAGAACCAGTTTCTAAGAAGGAAACTACTAGAAGATCATACCTTAAGACCAGCCATAGTGGTTCCATAGTTTTTGTACAATAGAAAGCCTAACTCGTTAACTTTGCTTTGCTCTATGCCAAGCTTCTCCACCAGAAAGTCTACATCATCAACAGTACCACTCATGTCAATACTAGAAGCAGCAGCAACAAAGACATTCACAAGAATAAAAACGCATGACAAGTACTTTACACACCAACCTTTGACATTCTGGTCACATGCATTACCAACGCCATTACTACGAGGATAGAGTGTATCATCTAAATCTGCAAGAAAACTCAGTCATAATCATATTCAATGATTATGCTTTAGATGAAGAGATGGTGTGGATTCATGCGCTCACCAAATAGAAGGCAGTCGTATTTTGGTCTCTGGGCCTGTCTGAATCTGGTCTCATACTCCATTGCAACTAGAAGAACCTTAAAATGGAAAACAGAAAAAGAAGTGAACGCTCTGCTTCGTGAAACATTAACCAACCCGTATTTATAGTGAACTTGGTTTGGTTCCAGTCATATCCATAAAAGAAACATTCATGTTGACTCAGATTAGCAACGAAAGTGGCTAAAAGCTTCATTAAAGCAGACAATTAAGGGCCATTGAGATAAGGACTCTTAGTTTCTGAGTGTACAATCCACAACAAGTGGAAGGGATTACATCAAAAATTTGTGGACCAGTGATCTTTTGGGGCACAGAATTAAAGAAACGCACAAAAGCTCAAAAACTATGTTCAATTATTAAAATTAACAGCAAAAACGAATGGTTTCCTTCGAAGGAAGGAATTATAGTAAAGGCCACAAAACCCATTATTCTTATTATTATAATCCTTTGAACAGAGTTCATCAGACACAGCACAATCCCTTTTTTCAAAGTGCACCCACTTTTGGAATCATGCCCATAACTTGGTTATGCCAACTTTCTGGAACGAATCATTAAAAAAAAAAAAAGATTATAAAGACAACCATTTATGAGCAATGTAGATTTCCCAAGATTCCAACGTCCAAATCTTTCCAAAGGTAGAGAAAATCGAGAACCCAAAAGCGAAATTCTCAAAACCAAGAAATGGGCTGCACAAAGACTGAAGAGCATAAGCTCAAGGGCTCTGGGCAATGAATGAAAACTGATACAGAGGAAGGGGAAAATGCTAAAGATTGAGAGAATCAAAGGAGCCAAAAAGCTTACCAGAAAGAGAAGAATCAGTGATTGAAGCTTAAAGAAAAGAGGGCCTCTGTGAGAAATACAGAGGTATTGAAGAAAGCGAGAGGCAGGGGGAAGAACAAATGCTGGGTTAGGGAGGTTTATATAGAGGAAAATTGATGCTCTTTGCGGCTAGAGAATTTCATTAAAAATACTAAATTATTCAATTACGTTTGCTTTTTAAATACCACATCCAATGAGGTTCACACAACAAGAAAGTGACAGCTAATTTAATTTGGCGAAGCTCTTCTTTTCTTTTTTTCTGGACACGAATCAAAATCTTGTTTCGCGTATACCATACTGAAAGTAATATTCAACGCATGAAATTGCCAAATCAGAAGCTGGGATGCAAATTTCAATGACAAATTGTATATGCCTCTTTTGGCCAATCCTAAGTGAAATCCTACCATTTACATCTTCTGATAGAAGATCTGATTTTAGAATATACTCTAACAGATCACTTTCTCATAAAGGATCTATCACTAAATTTTTGGTCAAGGTAGAGCTTTTGCATATAACTTTAGTGCAAAACATTTAATGATTGCTTTCAAGAACGCAAATCCTTCAGAATGGATTTGCAGAACATGCTTGTATATTAAAAAAAAATGAGCTCCATTAATGGAAGCAGAGGACAGGAAGGAAAGCAAAGGAGATGATTGTAACACGAATGGTCAAAAATTCTATGTCGGTCAAAAAATCAATGTCTTGATCTTATCACAATATGCAGGCCGAGCAAAAAATTAAAGGGGAAAAAGGATCTTATCAAAATGTTGTGTTGGTGCTAAGTAATTTGTTTGTGACAACTAATGTAATTTACAACTAACTTGGTTTTATTATACGCATGAAATGCAACTTTTTGAGGAAGCCACCTGTATTGACATGATATCTTCTTCGTGATCATCTTGTGAGCAATTATATGAGGAAAAGCTCATTGCACATTTGCGTGTAGGACTCCTTTTACCTAATCGTTATATATAAAAATTATTCTTCTACATATATATAATTAGGGGGTTATTTTAATCATAAATATAAGATTTCAATTTATTTTGTCTCATAAATTTATAGCTGTTTTTTCAAACTCTTTTGTTGATTGTATGCATTAAAAAGGTTTTCATCCATGGCCAAAATAAATAATTTCAAGGCAAATAATCAAGGAGGATATTTTCAAAAAACTAAAGCATATTTTTTATAAACAAATAATTTAACAATTTTTTTTGATATAGATAAATTAATTATCTTGTTCTTATATTAAAAATAAGAAGGAAATGTATTGCATGAGAGTGTGATTGTGGAAGGAAAAGGATGGTGCGAATTATTATTATTATTAGATGTACCGAAAAGTTGTGTGCAGTTCAAATTTTGGGTGGGAAAGATATTTGGAAAAGTTTGGCAAAAGAGAAATAATATTGTATTTAGTGCTTCGCGATAAGAGGGGAGGCTTGTCTTCATGTAAAAATAACGGTTTATGTTATATTATTGTCAGAATGGACATTTTGTTTGGTTCCATTGATGTGACTTCATATCTTTTAGCAACACTTAATTATTCCCTAATGTCTATTTATTTATTTATTTGCATTTTGAAAATAAGCATTATAAATTCCTTTTTCGTTTTTAAAATTTTCATGCTATGCTTTTATAATTTATGTTTTTTTCCTTTTTTTAAATACATATTGTGTTTTTTCTTAGTAGACAAGATTATAGGCCTTATGTTTCATGAATAGCATAACTATATATATATACTACCTCCGATCCTTAATATAAGACTCCGTTTGACTTTTTGTTTGGACCTACTTATAAGACCCAATCCATTTTGTCTCTCATATTTATGCATTTTTTTTCCAAGATAATCCTTCTAATAATGATAGTTCTAGTCAATACACTTAATTAGCAAGGATATTTTGGGAATGACAACACTTATTTATTACAAATAACTAACTTAACTTACTTCTTTAATCTCTCCAAATAAGTCAACTGGGTCTTATAATTAGGACCGGAGGTAGTATATGATTATTTGATTGAGTCAAATTCAAATATTATCATATTAAATTGAGATGTTTTCTACATTTACATAGACTTGAATTTAATATATATATATATTGATGATATTGCTAATTTAGACAATTCATATTTAATTTTGATGGATCCCAAAAATTTTGGGAAGCGAAAATATGAATGTAGTTATTAATCAAGTAGGTACGATTTGGATAGAGGGAATTTATCTGAGAATTGAGATGTGATTAAAGGCACCTAGTTTCATGATTGATCAACCTAAGTGGAGAGAAAGGACATGAAACCAACAGCCTAATTACAGCTTAGCCTCACTTTCCATGCCCTTTCTGTATGTAGTATTACACCACAAAGTCCCCACACCACCTCTCTCGACTTCATTATTAACTAATTAAAGAATTTCTTACGAAAAAACTAATATAACTAAATAAATAATTCAGGTTAGTTATGTTTACCAATAATAGTTGATGTTACAAACAGAATCGAATTCACAATTTTTCATTTAGAGGAGAAAACTTCCATACCACTAAGTTATTAGGGCTTGTTTGGAAGAGCTTATAAGTAGCTTTTCAATCGTGATTTACGAAATACGAGGTAAATATATTAAAAGAGTTTTGTCTCAATTTACGTAAAACATGTTATAATTGATTTTAATCATGATAACAAACGGGGCCATAGTCTACAAAGTCATAGGTGTTTAAACTTTAAAAGAGTTATTTTTTAGGAAAAATCCCAAAAATAAGTTATTGTTGAATTTTAAATTTTTAAATCAGTATTAATTACTACACTCGTAAAAAAATAACTACATTCAAAAAACAAATGACAACACATTTTTGTTGTAATTCTTGATTTGAAATTTTAAAATTCAATAGTCATTTTTTTGAGATTTTTCCTATTTTTTAATAGATATAAGACAATATTATAAAAACAAGTATATGTTTGATTCTCGTTCATAGGAGTCTAACTCATATGTGAGCAATTATGACCTAGTCAAACTCACTTTTAGGAAATTTTATTTCCAAACGTATATAATTATGCCAATATACATGCATTGTCTTGATTGGTAAAAATTGTGAATTTGATTACGACAGATAAACATTCAAATTCTATAAATAAAATATTTCTCTCGAGGAAGTTTCACAATCATTGTGCGCCTACAATTATCCAATAGCCATCCATTAAGAATTAAAAAATTAATAAAAATAGGGTATATGCAATGCATTTTGAGTATACAGCGCTGCATGAATAATCATCAATGATTGGGAAACTCATATATACTTGGCAGCCCATTGTACGTTCCCTTTCCAATCAACTTATTTGAGTCATCATCTTTATTATTTCAAACTCCTCCTCCTAGAACTCCGTAATCAACTATGATCTGTGTGTTTATCGTCATTATTATTTTATTTCATCCTAATTTAAGATATTATAACAATATAATTAAACTCCTTATTTTAAAAAAATCAATGATACCCACTTTCGCAAATTTACCAAATGGTTCGGTAAATGCCAAAATTCTTAACCATAAAAAAAATTCAAGAAACTTGTGCGTTAACGTTGTTAATTTTTCCAAATGAAGAATGTAAAAGAACCTTAAAAAAAAAGAAAAAGGAAGAAGGTCAAACTAATTGGATGTACAGTTTGATAAATTTCACTTTAATTTTTTTTAAATTTAGAGATACATATACTAATGGCATTAAGTTATAAGTGAAATAGAATATAGGGCCTCCCTCCCACTTATAAGGAAACTTTTAGTAGTGAGGATACAAATTTGTGCCCATAGAAATTTTGTCATATAAAATTGTGAAGTATGAATGGCCCATACCATATATTTTAAATTTTTTTGTTAATAAATAAATAAATGAGATGTGCAATTTGATTGGGAAAAATATTATGTAATCCTAATATAAATATTAAAGGCATCTTTGTTAGCTTCACTCCATCAATTAGCTTCCTCCGGTTGCAATAAATAAATATAACAACTTACGAGCGATTGCTTCCTTTCCCTGTATATTATGCGGAGGAAAAAAACAAACAAACAAACTTCTATTAGACACAGAATTTAAATAATGAGTCAATGTTAAATGACTAAAATTGAGTAATATTATTATAAATAGTGGGATTTGTTATAAATTTAATATTACATAATTAATATTGAATTATTGATGACGGGAACATTCGTGAGTTATGTTCGCCGCCAATAATTAAGTGAAAATGACTAATGATTACATCATGATACGTGTTTTTCCTTAATTAAATCAAAGGGTAGCAAATAATTGGAATCTTAAGGCCTTGGAAAACTTCAACTCATTGGGGACGAAAGCAACTCCAAAATAACATTTATTTAATTGCATCAATTTTTAATTCTGTTGGCAATTGGCACTTTTTTGTATTCTTGCAGGAGATATCTACTAGTGATTATGAATGTGAATAAAATAATTTAATATTTTTAAGACGAAAAAATTAATTACACTTAGTATAGTTGTAAAGGAATATTTTTTTTAAAAAAAAAAGCGATGATGAATGTAAAAATTAAGTAAGCTTTCACACATAATGTGATTCTTTCTCTGTATATATGTATGAATGACAATAGAATATTTATTATCGATTTAGTGTATAGATATTCTTTTCTACTTTCTTCATATTTCTCTCAAGTCAAAATTATTTTACAGACTTTCGACTTTAGAAGAAACTACTATTTTTTACAATTTTTTTGTAGGAATTATTCAATTTATTTTATTTGAATTTGATGGAGTACTTAAGCATTAAAATACATAATATACCAGTACTACACCCGATTTGAAAGCTCCATTTCAATCGCTCCTTCAATAATTCCAACAACCTGGGCTGCTCCGACTCAGTTCGTAGGGTTTATTTTGCATTTCCAGCCATCTTTTTATATTAACATATAAAAAATCATTTTAAAAAAATTATTTTGGTATGGATTAAAACTTTTATTAAAAACATTAATATTTATTTTATCAAAAATAGCTAATGTAAAGTTCAACCGTTGTGCTCCTTTGGTCATAAATATAAGACCCATTTTGTAGTACAATTTGTGTTTGAAAAGCTACTTATAAGTCAATCCAAATTAGGTCTTATATTTATGACCGGAAGAATAATAAATAAATCTATGGTTATTGCATGTTAAGATGTGTGTGTTTTTCGAATTCTATCATTTTATGTCTTTTAATCTTTTTGTCGTTATACATAAGCGATCATGCTTAAAATATTTAATATTGGTGATTTGGCGTACTAGATACACTCATCTTGACTGTTTCCAAGCATCAATGTAAGATATCTATCAAAATACTAAAAATAATTATGCGTAAAACCAGTATTAAATGTACTGCCACTTGTTGGAAACAAGGTTTTTTGTATGTATATCAAAAAGGTGTGTGTACTTCATGGTTTATTATATGTAAAAATTTCATTTTAAAATTGAGGGTTTTGTCTTGATTAGGTGCAGCCAGTTAAGGGAGAAAGCTACAACATAGAAGACTGCATAAGCTTCTATCCACGAGTCATAATACTTAAAATACACCATGCAACAATTTTATGTTAAAATTTACTCCTAAATACGCAAAAAAAAAAAAAAACAGAGAGATGGATGACTCCTAAAAATTTTATTTTTACTTTTATAAACATCTTTTCAGCCCCTAACTTTAATATTACTTCCAATCTTTAATATAAGAGTTAGTTAATTAATTTGAGTAAATAAAAAAAATTGGTTAAATTAGTTATTTGTAATAAATATGTGTGTTTTCTTAAAATATTCTTACTAATTATTTGTATTAGCTAGAACTATTGTTTCGTAAAAACTTGAACATATATAACTATTATCAGAACTACCTTAAAAAATAAATAAATATAAAAGACAAAGTGTATTAGAATCTTATATTTAAAATCAAATTCAAAACTAAACTAGCTTAATGTAGTATTATTTTGCCATCCTTTAATCAACAAAAGTAACTCACGTACCCCATTATGCTTATAGAGATGGTTGAATTCATAACCTTTTCTTTTTTTCTGATACATGAATTCATGACCTTTTACCTCGATAACATTAAAAAGATGTTTGGTGTCAATTGAGCTAAACAGGCCCAACAATACTAACATGTAAATTAAATTTCAAAGTATACAAAACATTATATAATTAGATCTCCCGGTATTTGGATTTTGCACATCAATATATTTTGCATTATTTACAAGTCAAAGGCTAAACTTTTCATGAATTATAAATAATATGATTCATTTATTAAGTTTTATATCAATTAGTACTCCTTTGATATTTTTAACAAGGTAGAGAAAGAATTTTCTTTTGGTTTATTTATAAGTCATCCTATTAAATTTTTAATATAAATGTATTATTTTATTCTTAATTTATTATTATGTAGATTATTATTTTCATAGAAATTGTTTATGTTAAATAGAGATAAAATTAAAAATTATTAAATTTTAAGACAAAATTAATGAAATTTAAGATTTTTCTTATTGTTGTGAAAAAAAACTCATTAATAGGATTGGAGAAATACGCTGGAAGAACAACAAGCGTGAAAACAAGTAGTACACATATTTTCATTTTTTCATGCGACTATCTCTCTCAAAGCCTAATTATTTGGTGGTTGCTTCTGATAAACTTATGACATCAAAGAGAAAAACTATCACAACACTGAGAGAAGCGTCTAAATCTTTTTGTGGATGCGATTTGTGTGTTGCGAATCATAGTGTTGGAATAATGGAAGCATTGTTCATGGTGTGTCTTAAGTAATTATGTTTTAAAATTGGAGAAATTAATAATGATGCAAATTAAATTAATAAAAAGGTTTCTTCATCTATAATTATCCAAAGCCACCAAATTTAACTATTTAAGGGTCCTACGCATTATTTTCTCTAGCAGACTTGTCTCTGTTGCTGAGAAAAATTAAAAATTAAATAATAGCTTCAAGTTGAGAACCCTACAAATGATTGGTGATGAGCTTATAGGCCTTGTCTGGGACAATTCCCTTATCCATTTGCTTTCCAGCCAAAATGCCTATATTATGCCCAACATATTTGAATTTTTTTAGACATTAGAAAATAAAAATGGGACACATTATTTAAATAATTGAGATTGTGCATGTAACCAAACTTCATTAGCTTCATTATTATATTTTTTGAAAACAAAGATCAACATGACAACACAAGTTCATGCACTCCAAATGAATTTGAACATAAAACATAGATGTAATTGTGGAAAATTCAATTATTCGCGCACACACATCTATAAAAGATGTGCTAATATTCATAAATCATTGAAACATGAGATTTTTCAAAACGCGCTTGTATATTTAAAATAAAGAAAATAATTGCACAAACAAGTAAACTTAAAATATTAGTTGGTTTTGTATATTTTATGTGGTTGCCGTTAATGATTCCATAATACCAAAAATCGAGAACTGGAACTTTCAAAGTTGCGATCAGACAAGCAATGAGGGTAAAATTTAGAGGCTAAAATTACAGGCATATGGATAGGAACATCTCCAATACTTAATATAAAGGTTAATTAACTAATTTGAGAAGATTGAGAAAGTCAAATCAATCGGTTAGCTGTAACAAATATGACATAATCTTCCCGAAATACACTTATACTACATTTGATTATAAGACCTAATTGACTAATTCGGAGAAATTAATAAAACTAAATGAATAATTTAAAGTATTTATATTTATTATTTTTCCCCTAAACTAATTTATCTGACTTATAAACGGATATATTATATAATGATACACATAAATATTTCAAAAAAATTATGTAACATATACTATAATTAAGTAATTTATTTGGTTTTATTAATTTTCTAAATTTAGTCATCTAGGTTTTTTTATAAAGAATCAGAGATAGTACTACCTCCAGTCCTAATTATAAGAGCCAGTTGACTAATTTGAGGAGATTAAAAAAGTAAGTTAAGTTAGTTATTTGTCTTAAATAGGCATTGTCTTTTCTAAAATATCCTTACTAATCAAGTGTATTAAATAGAAATATCATTGTTAGAAGGGCTACTTTGAAAAAAATTGTATCAATACGAAAGATAAAGTAGATTGGGATCTTATATTTAAGACCAAAATAAAAGTCAAATAAGATTTTATATTAAGGACCGGAGGTAGTATAACATTAACTTATAATCTTATATACTCATAGATAACGTAGTGTGGGAAAAGATAATTAATATAAAAAAAATATATTAGAGTCTTATATTTAAAATAAAATTCAAACTTCTTAACTAGATATATTGAGGATATGTTTTTTATTTAATTTGTTCAAAGTTTTATTGTTTAAGGTGAGAGGTTGAAGGATCGCCACCAGTTTGGGGGCCTACCCAATTAATGCTCACGTCATCACAATCATAAATGATATCAACAAATTAAATGTGATTCCAATTAAAAGCTGAAAGCTTGTGGGCACGGTTTATTCTTCGCCACATTTTTAGCAACAAATTCAAATTAAGTAGTGCATGACGATGTCATATTAATTAACTCAAACATGAAAACCATTTTCTATCATATTCTCATTCATTTTTATTTACTATGATATCCTACTCACTAACCTTATCCTTAGTTCTATACCATCATTAAGTGTGAAGTGAAGGGCATATATGTTTCGAACTTGAAATTATTTGCTATTTTATACTGCCTCCGGTTCTAATTATAAAATCTCGTTTGAGGTTTTATAATTAAAATTAGAGATAGCAATACAAACAAACGTCAACATTCAAGGACTATTACATATATACATACAAACATACTTTCTCTTATTTTAAAAGTAAGAGCTGATAAAAGGTTTGTTTTTATTATAAAAGTAACAGCTTAGTGACTTAACTCTTCTTATTGATTACACATATTAAATATGTTTTTTTATTAAGGGATTAGTTTTCATAGCAGATGATTAAAAGGAATAATTTAGAAAAATCAACTTAAATTGTTTTATAAACAACTGATTTAATATCTTTTTAGTATTTACAAATTAGTTATTTAACTTTTATTTTTAGGATTAAAGGAATGTTTGTATTATCTTAAGCTAACAAAATAAAAGATGGAACCCCCCCCCCCAAAAAGGATTATTGGTCTTTCTCAGCATATATAAATGCTCATATTAAGAGGAGGTGATATAATAATTACAAAAGTAAGAGGAACAAGAGAAGTTTAAAATGATACCACTATAATCATATTATATTGCCTAGAACTAGAATCATTTTTAATTAAAGGGAAAAAAATGACCCATGAGAGTACAATTGTGTCTATATATAGACCACATTTTTCCTCTTTATTCAAGTCTTTCCCCCTCAAATGATCTCTATGTATTTGACTATGCCTAGTTATTTTAAGACTGCAAAGGATTAAAGTTTCTAATGGTAGGATTTCGAATCATCAAAGGCACCATGTCTTCAAGCAAGCCCTGCGATCCCACACTAATCTCATGGGCCTGAGCCTGATCAGATTCTAATGGGTGTGGGCCTTCCTGGGATTGGGCCTGGGTAAAGGTCGTATTGGTCTTGGGCCTCTTTGTTGGTGGTGGAGAGGACTCATGGGCCTGAGTCATCAACAAATATGGATAAGCAAAGTGAAGATGAAGCCCCTCGTAAGTGACAATAAGTGTGTCTGGGTCCTCATTGCATCTTTCCACTTGCTTCTTGGCATTACACCTTGGATTAGTGCATCTATAATAGCTCCTGTAGAAAAAAAAAAGATTATTATGTAATTAACTTTGAGAGATTAATTTGCTTTCACAGTAAAATTGTCATGATTAGATACAGAATAATGAAGATTAATGCGTGCTAGCTAATTAAGCAAAATGGTAAGATGGATTTAATTAATAGCCTTTTATGGGGGATGGTCTTAATCTTAAACTTTCTCTGGATAATAATATGCGGATTAAAGAAGCTTAGGTGTCTTCTTACCAAAACTAAAAATAAGATTAGGAATCTTGAAAAAGTAGAGCAACTTAAAATAGATAGGACTTTAATGAAAATAATAAATAATCTAGGTGACCAGACCTAAATAATTAATTTGTGATGTATATATTTATTACCCAGTTTTATATATGTAATGAATAAGCCTCATCCTCGTACCCTTCTGGTGCCATCTTCATCATAAATCATTCAACTATCTGATATGCTTTTGTGGTTAAAAAAAAAAAAAAATAGCCCCACCAATCAGATTCCCCAAAAAGCACACCGATTACTTAATGATTACTATTTACTCAGCATGCATTCCACTAGTGGACTTGTATTTGTAATTAAGTCTCTGTGATATTCTTTCAGTGTGTTTTAGCTGCTGAGGTGGTAATAATTTGGGGGTAAAAATTATTATCCACTTTTAAAGTTTGATCCATTTTTAATTTTAATTTTTTAGGTAAAAACATTGTGATTCCGTGAAAGAAACTCTTATAATACTTTAAAAATTAAATTGTTATTCTTAATAATTACTACCACCGGTTTTAATTATAAGACATCATTTATAATTACAAACAAGGTCTTATAATTAGGATCGAAGGTACTATTTAATTTTCAATTTCAATATGATAAGTCAAGAGATGAACAGCTTGTAAACAAGTTTATAATCCTTGACGGTAAAATACTGCCTGTGTGCAATTAATACTGAGAAATATACTTAATTGATTTTTTCAATATGCCAAACTCCATGCCAGCTAAAAGAAAGTAAGGACTGTCTATTAAACCAAAAAAGAAGGAGAACAAAATAAAGACAAAAAATATAGACACACAATTTCTTAGATCCCTGTAACAACCAAATCAGAAACAAGACAATATAGTCAATCAGAAACTTTTAAATGACAAGAATTAAATTACAGTAAGAAATTCTAAGAACCAACAAAATTATTTAATTTACTATTTTTTTCTTGCACCAAGTACTAGTATAGAAAACTCAAAAAGATGCAGAGACATTTTAGTAATATTTACTTTATTACTATGCAGAGCAGGGCTGCTATCTAAGATCTCTTTGACAAAACTTAATTAAAACAGAGAAATCTAAACGTGAGTACTGATATGTGTTGGAGATAAATACCCTAACATTTCACATAAGACTGAAAGACAAAATAAAAAGAATAAAGATAAATGAGCTAGAATTCCATATTCTTGTACTGATTTTCCTGTTTAAATTAAATGATGAGGTGATGAAGATTGAAGAAAAGAAAATATGAATTACCTAGGATTTGGACTATTCTTAATAGACTTCTGTCCGTACTTCCTCCACTTATATCCATCATCGCCCATGCCATTCCCAAAGCACTTCATTTTCAGAGTATACTTATTCTCTATCTTGCTCAGTCCTCTTTCCAGAATCGATACCCTAAACAAGAAATTAAAAAAAAATGCAGTAAGCAATATATATTATTGCAGGATCAGAAAGTGCAGATACAGTCTATAAATATATCATAGCAATAGAAGATAAGTAAGAGTTTTGTGATACCTGGATAAGGAGAAGTCTTCTTGGGAATGTTGTTTGTGGTTGGTAAATGACAAAGCACTTTCAATATCGGAAATGGTAGGTCCTGAATAAATGTTGGAGATGAAGGAGTTAATGGTGGAAGCTGATCTTATTGTGTCGGTGGCTTCAGTTGAGGAGAAAGGATAGTTATAATCTAAAAGCTCTCTCAAGAGGTCTTCTTCCTCTGATCCATCTGACGAATAAGCTGCCATTACTGCTTCCTCCATCATTACTGTCTCTGATGAAATGCCTGAGAAGTCAACCATTTATTAGACCTCAGAAATGACTGAGATCTTCAGCTTTTATGAAAGAGAGGGGAAGGTGAAGAAGAAGAAGAAGATGATGATAGGGTAGTGAGAGAAGGAAAGAGTGGAGCAGATGAAGGAAGGAATTGTGACGTAGACAAAGTGTGTGCCTGGCTTGACTTTTTAAAGAGAGAGCAGATAGATAGATAGCTAGTTTGCTTGGTAGCTAGGCTGTGACTTTTTGTTTGTATTATAGTTTGACTTTCCTAATTCCAAACGTTGGTTTTAGTACAAAATTTTTAACACTTTCAAAAAGATTGCATGAACTATGTCCACAGTAAATAGAAATGAAAGTCAAAGGGTGACAGTTTCATAGGTTTCATTCTTTTTTACTGGGGTTTGATAACATATATGAGATGTGGCTGTGGTTGAGGACTACTAATTTGTTTTGGTCAGAGACAGCTAAGGAGGTTAAAATGGTGACCCATTATGATGGATATATATATATATATATATATATGAAACAGAGTTTTTGATGACATTTCTTTTTCCAAGGTCCAGAAAATCTCTAACATTTTTGTGCTCCCTCTGTTTTCCTAATTTAAATGTAAATTTTGTCCCTTGTTTATATGATGGGACAGGTGCATGGGGGAGGGTGGACCAGACCAGATTCTCTTGACCTCTCACCCTATTTCAACCAACGCATTAGTCAACGTTAAAAAATTACTCATGACTTTTGGCTCATTTCACATTGTTTTTGAGGTGTTTTTATTTGGTAATACTCTTGGGTTATTTGTTTAATATTAATTTTCCCCACTTCCAGCAGCAATATTTGGGATGGTTGAGTATGCATTATTGGTTGCTATGGATCAAATGGCAGGTTACTTACTAAAGCATGAGTCTCTCTTATAGGGTTAAAAAAATTAAATATAATGGGAAAGATAGTAAATTTTCTCTTTAATCTCTCATTTGATATGACAAAGTATGAAATTAAATGAAATAAAATTTTTTTTTATATGAGTGGAAAAAGTATCTTTTTTATAGGGTCAAATACAAACTTTAGTCTTTCAAGTTTGCTTTCATTTTGATTTTGGTCTCTTAAATTTCAAACAATAAGTTTTGATCCATCAAGTCTCTTTTATTTATAACAATATTTGTCTTTATAATCCAATAAAAATTCAAACTATTTTGCTTTTGGGAGACTAAAATTTATTATTTGAAACTTAAGAGACTAAGATCAAAATAAGTTCAAACTTGAAGGACAAAAAATTATATTAACCCTTTATATATATTTTTTTAAGTAAAAGTAAAACTTGAAGGGAGTTCAAGTGGCAGAACTAAGCTATAAGATATTATTATATATCATTAATGGAGATTGGGTAAAGTCTATCTATATAATTTTTATTTATTCTTTTTTATTGAATGTGGGCTTTCTAACATTCGTTCAACCTAACTAAATTGTCACAATGTTTAAAGTCTAAAGCATTTTTTTAAAATATTAAGATCAAAGAAGAAAATGCTGACAGAACCAACTATGGAGCTATAAAGAAGAGATATAAGAAGAAAAAGCATGCCACAGAATTAAATTAATGGAGTTAGAACTTTAACTGCATTATTCTTTGGTTTAAGCACAGATTACAGAGTAAGTAGAATAATTAGGTGGCGGCGACCACATAATTAAGAATGGTAAGAAAACAATTAAGAGATATGTGCTGCTCCATTACATTAACTCCTACATTAAAACTTGTACTTCTTGCCTACTCAAAGTGGATTTCATCTGCTCAAGTTTATGAATATCTGTATAACTTATGTGAGGGGAAAATTTAATTGATATAAATCTTACAGTTTTTTTTTCGTAGTTCATTTCTACATGTTTTGTTAAAATTAACAAAAATCTTAAATTTTATTAACTATGTTTTAAAATTTAATACTCTTTCTTGTCCTTATTATAAGAGAAGAAAATTTTTGTCCTTATTATAAGGGGACAACAGGGTCATTAATGATTTTTTTCCTGGTTTACCCCTAATTACAAATTATTATTACTCATATAAATAATTTTTCACTAGCTCCTGGAAATTTGTTATATAAGGGTGGGTTTGAAAATCTTATACTTTTGAAACACATTTAATAACATAACTGTTATTTCTTGATTGGTGTGAATTAGTTTGTTGACTTCTCATAATAAGAACCAAAAAGAGTAATAGCTTTTTAACTTTACTCATATTTAACATGCACCCTATCTCAAAAGTACAAAGTGACAATAATAAATGAAAGGTAAAAATAGGATTTAAAGAATATATGTATGTTTTTTTTTCACGTGATTGATTTTCAAAATTTACCTTGCGTAGACTTTTGTGAAACTTGGATCTGAAGAGGAGGGTGTACAGTATGGAGATGCAGAAACTTCTGTGACCTCTGGATTAGGACTGGGATTGCTTCAAAGTCAGGGAACCTCTTGTTGTTATTCGCCTTTGACTTTGCAAATCCAAACAAAACAATTCATTGTGCCCACAAACAATCATTCAACTTTATTACTCAAAATTACCTTTAAAAAAAAAAAACCGTTGACTTTCAGAGCGGGTTTAGGTCAGCCGCACGCCGCGATGAAGGATGTTAAAAGACACCAAACGCGAGGCTTTCTCAAAAGTCAACGTCTTCTTTGCGGGACCCCATCACGTGCAACACATGCCGGCATGTTTCAAGAATGAGATGAAACTCCAAGCTGCATAGTCATGGCAGGATTACTCAAATATTACTTGCCAAGATCTCCATTGAAAGCCTCTGGTCTCGAGACCTTAGGAATTAGGGAAATAAGAGTACGAGTAATTTCTGGGGGGGTACAATTGCCTCGAAAACCAGAGGAAACCATGGCATTGCCCATAGGAGGCCACTTCTGGGGTTGGAAAAATCAGCAGGAAAACCTTCAATACAAGGAGCCTTCAAAGGTTTGATCTAGATCTGAATTAATCCGGACAAGTTTTGGTGACAAATGACAAGAAGAAGCTAGCTTTAAAGCACATGTTCTTCTGCTAATTCTGGTTCACCAACTGCATCTTCAGATGATTGATCTCTCTCGTTTTTGTTCACTGAAACAAGAAGTCATTCATTTATACAGTAACTCCACCTAGATATGAATTAATCTGAACAATTTGTCGCTATTTTACATTAAGACACTATGTTTTGTGGTTTAAAACATGTTTTTTGAATAGGAAAAGCAGGGGATGGTATTTGTGTTTTATCATAATAGGGAATACACACTAAAACAAATAGATATGCCAGAAGATCAAACTTTTTTAATCACAGACGCATCAGAATATGTAATTATTTACCTAGATTCATTGGAGGGCTCCCTAGTGGTGGTCTTACTTGAAATTGTTTCATGACTGATGGCACCAAGATGTGCAGAAAGAAGCCACACAAGGATAAGCGGCCTCACCCATGGAGGAAAACATACAGATTCAAATCTTGAAAAGTGAAAAGTTCATTTTTTGAGAGAGGCAAAAACTTTTTGTGCTCTAAGTCTTGAGAGGGATATCCTATTACCCTTGATGAATTCAAAAAGAAGCCACACATGGGCAAGAAACTCCCCTCCTTTTCTAAGTTGTTGTGCATGCTGATCTGCCTTACACTATTTTGCTGCTCACACAGGAGTTTCCATGCGCACAACTTTCAACAATTCCCACGTCTCCTTTTCCTTTCTATCGCCATTGATCTTGCAAGTCTACACGCTTCAAATATCACAGACTTTGACTCACTCCTTCTCACTGAGTCAGGTCTCACGTTTAGCAGCTTCTCACCGAGCTTCCTCTACATCAATTCTTGGATGGCAGTTTCATCTTCACCTGTCTAAAAACTTGAATGGTTTCTGCACACGTGTCATGAAAGCTTATCAGTTCTGTTCCTACAGGCAACTTGTGTCTTTGGGTCACCCACAATATGTAACATGTATTCTGGTATCATCTTGGGATCTTCTTCATGGTCGCCGCCATTATTGATGCAATAATAATAGCATATGTCTGTGGCTATATTCTATGTAAGAATGCTTTGAAGAAACATTTTTGTCCATTCTATTGACTTGAGACCTCGTGCTTCAATAATGGTGTCATTCACTCCAAGACTGCTCAAGTTTTGTCCTCCTCTGATTTATTGATCAAGTGGTTGAAAATACGATGATGCATTGTTCCTTAGTGGGCTTGCAGATTCATTCATGTTTTCTCTCCTAGTTCGTTCAAATTCACTGAATCTTTGTTGTGTTGAAGGCCGAGGATTACTAAGTTGCACTGAGGGATTACATTAACCCACGTTCTCTTGGAACTTAACTCATAGAATTCATAAAGTTCGTCTACATTATTGCTTTTGGGATGAATGAGGAATATAAGGAAAATGGAATCGTTGGTTTGAGTTCGTTACAACAACGAACAAGTTAACATTATTTGATTTCATAGCTCAAGACGACATTTTAAAAGAGACTAACCACTAAATGCATGAAGTTTTCTCGCAGATCCTGGGGAGTTTTAGTATTACCTCATGTTGTTCATATAAGAGTTAGTTAGGAATTTGATTTGATTTTAAATGTAAGAGCTCAATCTATTTTATCCTCTCAAATTTGTAATTCATTCTCTAAAATATTCCCATTAATTATACATGTTAAGGGGTTTTCATTCAATAATAGTCATGATTAAAAAGATTACTTTAGAAAATCAATTCATATTTATAATAAATAACTAACTTAATTAATTTTTTTGATTTATTCAAATTAGTTAAGTAGTTTTTATATTAAGAATTAGAGGCAATAATATCCAAAGCAATAAAAACCAGAAGATGTGATTCGTTGTTGGACTGTTCAATGGTAATCAATAGTTGCAGAATATAAAGCCCAGGTTCTTTGCCCACATTCAATGAATCCATTAACAGGCATCCGTGAAACGTGAGTCCATTATTCCTCCAAGGTGAAGAACAAGATTGCTCAAAATGCTAAGTGCCTAAGTGAAAAGAATCATCATCATTTATTCATCTTCATAGGATTGATCAATAGGATCTCCAACCTTACTGGAGATAACAAACTCCAAAATTTGCGACCCAAAC